ATATATATATTTTTTTTTTTTAAGAGTAAGTTTTAATGCCTAGTTTACAATTTTTTTAAAAAATTTAAATACTATTTGATGCTTTGTTTTATTAATTCAAATTAATAAATAATCACAAAAGTATTTTACATGATAATTTGAATTTATATAATGAAATATCATATGATTTTTAAATTTTTTAAACTTATCTATAATTTTTTTTTAATCTAATAATTAGATCATTAAAATTTAATATAAAACATGAAATATTAGATATAATAAGTGTAAAATTTTAAAAATCCTCTTTGTATAGTGTGAAAAAATTCATTTACTCTTAAAATAAATCTATTTGAACTTATCTCACTCAATAACTCATACTTTACATCAAATTTTAACAATTAAACCAATAAATATTAAAAGTTCTTAATATATAAATTTAACATATAAAATATTTATATAATTATCTGTCAATTTTAATTAATAAAACAAAACTTCATATTGCTTTTAAACTTACCTCCTCTCCCCTTCTTTCATTGCAACAAACACCATTAAAATGGAGGTAATACTCTTCATCTTTTAATTATTAAAATCTAATTATTATACAACTAGTGAAATTAGTGGAATTAAAGATATTTAATTTTACTAGTTTATTTAATAAAGATATTTAAAAATTACCAATACTTATTAAATCAACAAGTGTTACACCTAATCCTCAAATCTTAAGATCTTAAACTTGAATCTTGAATTTATAAAAATAATTAATTTTTAAATTATTTATTATTTAAAAATTTAAAAATAAAATCAACTAAAAATATGCATATCGAATTGATTTTTATATATGTTGTAGATATTATATTTTAAGTTTTTTTTTGGTACACATACTTTTTTAAGTTTAATTACATTTTTATGTCATCATGATTGACTATTATTATTATTATTATTATTATTATTATTACAATACAATTTAATAATATTCTAGATCGACATATTGAACCTACCTTAAACCAACCTATCAAGTATTAACCCAATATATTAAAGTCAACATATTGACATTACTATTTTTTTGGGTACATATAGAGAGAAAAAACAAAAACAAGATGTTTAAACACAAACTAGAGTCTCATGTAAGGAACCCCCACGGACTGAGCTAACAGTAGAGTACGTAAAAACAAGGGTGCCTCATTGAGTAACTACCGGGCCTTCCGCTTGAACCGTACCACGTTTTGCAAGTGCATCAGCGCATATGTCACCCTCCTTAAAGGAATGAGACTGCGAGCACTCCCACTCTTTGCCCAAGTAATTTTTGATCTCCAAAAGCTCATTCGCATATAAAAGAGCATGCGCGCTATTTCATGGTTAAGTACTCAAGGTTACTAAAACATTGTTATGAAAAAAAAAAAATGAAAAAAAAAGCTGCTAGCAGCTAAACTAAAGACGCCATTTTCAAATTATTATATTCTCGAAGCAGATATAAGCTTTGAGGAGCATCCAAGATAATAAAGCAAATAGATATTTTATTCATGGCAAATAAATTCCGACTGTACCTTTAAAAGACAGACGTCAATGGAGGAGGTAATATTGACGGTATCCCTTGCAACATCATATATGAACAGTGTGACAAAGCAATCAATCTGATGTAACACAAAATAGCGCAAGCATAAAAAATACTGCTAACAATTCACTTCCTTTCGATAGACACTGAAAATAGTTATGAAAGCTAAAATGAGAAACTGATAATGCATTTAGAAAGATTATACCTTTGCCCGGCCTTTTTCTCACTATCTCATCCCAGCTTATATCAAGAAAATATATGGATGATGCATAAACAATACAACAATTTTCGTGCAGTCTTTCTTTTGTGCAAACTATCTGCAAGAACAAGTGATTGCGCGGAGGCAGCAATCTATTGGACATTGACTACAATAATCACAAGGCAAGTAAACTTGCTCGGGATAAGATCCATCTTTCTTTGGAGAGTAAACTAGTTGACAAAAAAAACATAGAAGATTATCAGTCAGGGATGTGAAACAAACTTAAAAATTTGAGGCAAGCTATATAAAAAAAAAAAAAAGTCATGAAGGTAACAATAAAAACATATCATCAAAGATACCATGAAATATTCAAAACTTAAGAGTTCCAATCAAATATGTCACAGTTAATAAAATGCATGCAATCTTGCTGAGAGCACGCCAAAACCAAGGACCAAAAAATTACAGGGGATGGGTAAAGCTCTACTATTTGCCAGAATATGATAACACCCATTCACCCTTCCTCCTCCACAAAAAAATACAAAGAAAAGGGTAAGATATACTAACTATTACCAGGGCGTGGATATTAATGAATTTCACGGTATAGAAATTGAATGAACCCTTCAAGCAGAAGTTGGGTACATGGTTAACATAAGAGTTCAACCAACTGAAGCAGCTACATCTGACAGATCTTCAGAACTGGATGCATCCAGAATTTGGTTCCATTCTGTATTTGCTTCTGCCTGATGTTTATGTTTTGTTTGTACACATTCAGTATGCCTGCCAAAGTTTAACTCATGCAATGCCTTGGGAGATAATAACTTCAAATCTCTCATCTCAGCCAACAATTTGAAAGCGGAAAGATACAGATCTGATCTACATGCATATTTACATAAGTTGAAGAAATTTGTGTCACTCAGCTGTATCCTTGAATCAACCATCTCTTGCAGAATCTGTTTTATCATCTGGAGATCTCTTTCTTTACAAAAAGCAAAAAGAATCATATTACAGGTATGGACACTGGGTTTCAGACCATTGTCCTTCATCCGGTCATACAATGTGGAAGCCTCTTGAGTTCTTCCACCTCTAAGTAGTGCACAGATGCCAACTGTGTACGCTACATTGTCAAGTGGATATTTATTCATGACTGCAAATTTGAAAACACCGGCAGCCTTGTGATACTTTCCGGCCTTTATAAGCTCACCTGTTATTACAGTATGGATGTGAGCATCAGTATCATGATAACTCATAACAACACCACGGTACACATTAACTGCTTCATCAAATCTTCTAGCGGCACAGAGCGCACTCAGTAATCCAGCAAAACTATATTTATCTGGCACAAAACCTTCATGAATCATATGGTCAAAGAATCCAACAGCAAGAGAAGGAAGCTCGGCCTTGGTAAGAGAGCTTAAAAGAGCATTACAGAACACTAAATCAGCATCTATCTGTCTGGAGACTAGAATTAGATCGGGTAAGAGATAAAACTTTCTGGAGAGACAGATTGCGGATAACAATGAAGTAAAGGTATAAGAATCAGGTTTGAAGTTTCGCTCTGATAAACTGAGAAAAACTTGAATTGCATCCTGGCACCTTCCGGCCTTGGAAAGGCAATGAATTAATACATTACAAAGAATTAAATCTGGAATTTGGCCAGCAGATAACATTGCATTAAACAAACGAAAAGCACGGGTTACCATGTTGGAATGCATTAGAGCCTTAAATAAGTTGGTATATGTTACAATATTAGGAGAACAACCGGTCAGAAGCATATTGTGGAAGAGGTTGGTAGCAACATGAAGGCGACCCGATTTACAGTAATTGTGGATGAGAATAGTCCAAATATTGACAGAGAAATTGATCCCCAGTGCAGTCATGAGAGCCAAGAGCTGATAAGCCTGCGGTAATGCATTAATCTTGCAGAGAGAATTGAGAAGCGTCTGAAATGTGAGAGGAGGGGGAGAATAGCCGGCCCTGAGCATAAGCCTAAGAATGCGAGTGATGTGAGGGAGATGGTTCAGGTTGGAAAGATGGAGAAGTGCAATGTTGAAGGTGAAGAAATTAGGGGGGTGGGAATGATTGAAAAGGGAGAGAGTGACAGCCACATGGGGCTTCCCAATCCTAAAGAGAACGTCCATAAGCAAATTACGAGCAAAGGTGTCGGGGACAAAGGTGTAAGCGGCTTGCATATGGTGATAAGCCTCAAAGAGCATTCCATACATACCTGCACGCCAGTAAATCCTGAGAAACACCAACTGAGATTTAGGGTTTGTAAGACACCCACAGCCGATGCTCTCCAACTCGGAGAGAATGGCTGGGGCGGTGTTGTAGCGCTCAGAGAGGCGGCGGAGCACGGTGACCATGTCATCCAAGGCGACTGTGTCGGGGTGCCGCCGCTGGGCTGACCACAGGAAAAGGGAGAGGGCGACCAAATCAGATGGACTTCTCGACAACGTCCACTTCACTTTCCCTTTCTGCTTCTGCGATGAATAATCGCATTGGTGACACAAACACACGACACAACCACCCACTCTTTGTGTTCTTTTCAATCTCAATCCTATTCGTATTCCCGTTGATGCCCACAACCAGCTCCATATCATTTCCCACAATTCCAAACCCTAACTATTCAAACATATTTGCTGCTTTGAGTTCAGGATGCTGTCAATGTTGAGCATCCTCATTCAGGGATTCCACCATTCACCACTCCCTTCCTTAAAAAAAATAAAATAAAAAATAAAATAAAAAATAAAAATTCAATTGTATTTTTATCTCTTGCAATTGTACAATTTTAGTTCTTAGAATTTTAATTGAGTAATTTTAGTTCTTAAAAAATTATAATTGTGTAATTTTAGTCTCTTAATTTTTAATTGAATAATTTTAATCTCTTAAATATTATAATTGTGCAATTTTAGTATTTTTTTATTATTAAAATTTAATAATTTTAAAATTTTAATATACACATATATATATATATATATTATTTTAAAATTATATAATTATTTGTTTATTTAAGTTAACGTATATTATAATTTTTGTTAATATAACAAATGATATATATTTATTATTATTAAATAAATAAAATTAATATGTATATTATAGATAAACTAATAATTTAATAAATATAACTTAGTATATATTAATATATTTTTACAAAAATATAAATATATTAGATAAGTATATTTCTAATTAATATACTTATATTTTTGTAAAAATATATTAATATATAATAAGTTATATTTATTAAATTATTAGTTTATCTATAAATATACTAATAATATTATTGATATTAATTTATCAGTAATATTATAAAAATAATAATATATAAATTTTATTTATTTAATAATAATAAATATATATCATTTAATACATTAATGAAAATTATAATTTATGTTTACTTAAATAGATAAATAATTGTATAATTTTAAAATATTGTGTATATATATATATATATTAAAATTATTAAATTTTTAATGAGAGAGACTAAAATCGTACAATTATGATATTTGAGGGACTAAAATTGTTCAAGTAAAAATTGAAAGACTAAAATCGCACAATTGCAATTCTTAAAGGACTAAAATTACCCAATTAAAATCTTAAGGATCAAAATTGCACAATTACAATACTTGAGGGATCAAAAATACGATTAAGCCTAAAAATAAAATAATAAGAGAGATAAATATTTAAGAAAATATTATTTGAGAAACACTATAATATATATATATATAATTAATATAAAAACATTTATATTTTAAATAAAACTTAACAATAATGTGTGTCTTTCTTAAAAAATAACAACTATTTTTTTTTACTTAAATAAATAATAGTAGTGGACCTTAATATTATCTTAAACACTAAAAAATAAAGTAAAATTAGAAAGACTACAAAAATATCTAAACATTTTCTTTATTGATAGAAATTATAAAAATATCAATAAACTTTGAACTTAAAATCATGGGGACATTACCCCCAACTTCTACCAATACATTAACCCTAATAATTTATGGTTTATTAGTATCTAAATCTAACATTTCATAATTTTCAATATTTATAATTTAATGCAAAATTATATAATTATTTTCTTCCTTTCTTCATTTGTGTTGTTGATTAAACTACTTATGGTTATCATTACCGTTATTAGTTTTTAATATCATTGTTACCATTATAAAATGTGACTTAAGTAATAATATTAATCAATATATTTAAAGATCAAATGATTAAGTTTAGAGACTCGGATAAAATAACTAAAAATTTAAAGATTTTGTTGAAAGATTTTTAATTTATGACTAATGTAAAAATGTATGCTTATATTTTTATGAACAAAAATTATCATTTATTTCACTTACAATCAATATTTCAAAACCCGGATTAGACCGACCGGTTCATACGAATCAGTCAAATCACCGGTTAAATAACTAACAAAAATCAGAATTTTCTAGAATTTGTACAAATAGATTAAGAACCGGTTCAACTGAATATAAACATACCCAAAACACCCAAATCAGTTTTATATCTTTAATGTCTGTGTATAAAAATGTCCATTACTCATTTCTGTTAATGACAAAAGGTCTAGCTGCAGCACTACAAGAAACAATAACTCATTCCACCGTATCAATTAGTTTGTAAAAGCGTTTTTTAAGTGTGTGTTTGCTTTTCATTTTCTAACAATTCTTTCATATCTCTCCATGTTCAAATGTAGATTTAAGTAAAATTAATATTTATCACTCCAAATTAAACGTGAAAAATCACGTTGGAACTCAGATGCAAACACGCACTAACTGATCTTAAATTTTAAATCGATTTTCTATACCCTATGTTAATGTAGTAACAACACTCAAGCTGATAACACAGTATTAATAGCACTCAACCTTTGTTAAAAAAAAAAAAAAAAGAAACTTTAAATTTAATAAACAAATTTTAATTAACATTGGGTAAAATGGTAATCCTATATCACAGTTGTTATCTTTCTTCTTCTCCATCAATTTAAATAAATGGAGAGATATTTTTTTTCTCTTTTTCTTTGAATCCAAACAACTAAAAAAATTCATTCACTTTCTCTTTCTTTTTTCATCCAAACATAATGTAAATGATTTATTTTTGCTTTGATTCTGGATTGCACTGAGGAAAAATAGTCATTTTTTAGGCTGCTGCAATAAAAGCTTTGTGCTCATCCATGGGACCGGTGAAGAAAGAACCATGCATTGTTTTATCCCAGCAGTCTCAACGTCTCAAAGAAATTAGTCTCTCTAAAATATCCTTGGTACAAACAACAGCAAAAAGAGATATATACATTGTTTTATACACATATAAAAGAAATATATAGTGCAGCATGAATAATGCCTAGTCTCATCTATCTACAGAACTATTACCGGATGCCATGAGGGGATTATATACTTGCTAATACTATAAGCAATGCCATTATTGCTAAACTGTGAAGGCTGTTCCAGTACTCAATGGAACATGCATATTGCATATTTTAACTGAGCAAACTATTCCATCGCTCTTTAAGGACCTCATAAGCCTCAGGACAAGGTATAGCCAGCAACCCGTCCTTTCCATCAATACAAGTTTCAGTTGCTAGGCCCAGCCTTAATAATGTATTGAGTGCCTTGTCAATTGGCATTTCAACCTGCTAAATTTCAAATTATCAAAGAGTGCAAATTATGCAATGATTAGGCAGCACTACCACGAAACGGACAAAAGTATTAACTTCAGGGAGCTACCCCTCCCCC